GGTCAGGAGAGCCCGATCTGGGCGCGGACTTTCGGACGCTCCCGGCTGCAGCCCAGCTGCTCCCCGGCCGGTTCGGATGCCGGAGTGCCTGCGGAATGCCGCCAGCGCCGGGTAAACAGAGCCGGAGCGGCGACCGCCGGCGGCGGCGGCGGCGGCGCCGCGGAGCGGCCGTCAGCTGGCCGGCGGTGGCCGACCGTGACGGGAGGCTAGCTGCTTTGGCTGACCGTGACGGCAGGCTGTCCGCCCCGGCTGACCGTGACAGGAGTTGTTTTCTCTGGCTGACAGCGACGGGAGGCTGTCTTCTCTGACTAACCGTGACAGTAACCGTGACAGGAGGCTGTCTTTTCTGGCTGACAGTGACGGAAGGCTGTCTGCTCGGGCTGACCGTGAGGGGAGGCTGTCTGCTCTGGCTGACCGTGTTGGGAGGCTGTCTGCTTTTGCTGACCGTGACGGGAGGTTGTCTGCTTTGGCTGACCGTGACGGGAGGGTGTCCGCCCCGGGTGACGGTGACGGGAGGTTGTTTTCTCCGGCGGACACTGACGGGAGTCTATCTGCTCTGGCTAACCGTGACAGTAACCGTGACAGGAGGCTGTCTTTTCTGGCTGACAGCGACGGGAGGCTGTCTGCTCTGGCTGACCGTTACGGGAGGCTGTCTGCTTTGGCTGACCGTGGCGGGAGGGTGTCCGCCCTGGCTGACCGTGGCAGGAGGTTGTTTTCTCTGGCTGACAGTGACGGGAGGCTGTCTGCTCCGGCTGACCGTGACAAGAAGCTGTCTGCGCTGGGTGGCCGTGACGGGAGGCTGTATGATCTGGCTGACCGTGACGGGAGGCTGTCTGCTCTGGCTGACCGTGACAAAAGGCTGTCTGCTCTGGGCGGCCGTGTTGGGAGGCTGTCCGCGCTGGGTGGCCGTGTTAGGAGGCTGTCCGCGCTGGGTGGCCGTGTTAGGAGACTGTCGGCTCTGTGTAGCTTTGACGCGTGGCCGTCTTCTCACACTGACTCAGATACCGAAAGCGGCTGCGCCTCGGGTGACGAGGGTTTCAAAGTTTTGTGCCCTGTTGCGCATTAGTCTTCAGTTGACGTTGTCGTTTCATCTTCAGCGGATAGCAGCGGTATGTGCAGCATTTTTGGCAAGGCGTTGCCGTTGAGGTCACTGTTTTTTCGCTCATCTTCAGCAGATAACGGCGGCGTGTGCGGCGTTTTTGACAAGGTGCTGTGGTTTTCGTCGATCAAGAATAATGCGCGAGCCTGTGTGTCGTGAAGTTCGTTCATCATCCTAACACTCCGATTACAAGGTGTTATCTGTTATGGGCATCGCGGTCGGTAAATCCCCGTTTGTTGGGCGTCAGATTGCAATCCGTCGTGGGTGGGGATTTCGGCCGTCAGTAAATGCTCAGAGTTGTACAGCCTGAATCGCAGGTGCATCATTTTTAATATAAAGCATTTTTATACATGTGACCCCCAGCTACAGCCGTTTTTGCGCTCGAAAGCTGTTCCGTGCGTGCGGCCTGATGGTCAGTGGAAGCCTGCAGAGCGGCGATCATTCGACGCTCGGGTCGGCCGACCGGCCGTCGGGACACGTGGAGGTGCGTCCGCCCCGCCCCGCCCGCGGATGCGGCCGAACGTGCGGAATGCGCCCGCCGCATGGCCGGTTGCACCATGCGGCTGCAGTGGCTGCGGGCGGCGGGCGACGACGCTCGCCGAGACCGGCCGCCCGCTCCGATGGTATCGCCGCTCGACGACGTGTCCCAGACTTGCCACGCAAGTGGGGGCCGATGCTGCCGGCTGATACTGGTGTTTTGGACGCCTGGAATGCCGGGCGGGGTCGCGTCGGCGGCGGAGCGCGGCTCGATACCGCCTCGTCCGCGCCCCGGGGCGCCGCGCCGTCCAGCCGCTGGCACCGCCCTCCCCCCCCCCCCCCCTCGCAGCGTCGTGCGCGCCGGCGCTCAGCGCAGTCTGGGCCGAGGTCGCTGGCGTCCGCCGACAGCTGCCTGTCATGGGTGGCCTCTCACTGACGCGGACTGCCTGTGGATGGTGGCATTCGGCGTTTTAGCGCGTCCTGAGCCGCGCGTCCTGAATTATTGAAATATCGTACCGGTTGGTGGCATGTGTGGGGGCGAGCGGACGCAGCGTCGGGCGCCGTTGGCGGTGCCGAGTCATGGAGGCCGGCCGGTTCATGCGCAGCATCCCGCGAGCCGAGGCCTCTGCGTGGCCCGTCGAGGTCACTGAGTGATGTCACAGGCGGCCGTGGATCGTCCGCGACCGGACCGCGCGCCAGCTCACACTCACACCGGACCGGCCCCGGCCCACGCCGATCTGGCACAGACCGGGCCCGACCCACACTGGATTAGCAGGGACCCGCCCCATCCCACGTCGGCCTGGCAAGGACCGGCCCCGTCCCACGTCGGTCTGGCACGGACTCGCCTGGACCCACGCCGGTGTCGCGCCAATCTGCTGCCGTCCGTTTAGCCGGGCGCGGACCAGCCCCGAAGCGCACCAGACACACACAAGCCCGGCCGATCGACGCCAGGCCGACCTAGCGGCCGCGCCGACCGGCCGCGCAGCCCGACCGACGCCGACGACGTGCTCGACGCGGTCGACCCGGCCGCTGCGCGGCTCTGCCCGGCAAGGGTGTTGCGGTGGGCGTTCCGCCTGTTGCCCGTGCCCGGCGCGCCATCAGCGGACCGCTGCGCTCCTCAGGGGGCTGACAGGGGCCCGACACGCGCTGACGTGGCGTCGATCACTGCCGGCCGCCGGCTCTGATCGAGCATGGATGTATGCAGCGGTGGCGGCGGCGGCGGCGGCTGTCCTCTCTAGGTCGACTGACGGCTGCGCGGGCCGTTCCAGCTGGGTGAGCCGAGGTCAAAGCGTGGCATTTTACACGCTGCGCCCGCCTACAGTGCAGCGCCAGGCCTTCCTACTCTATCAACCTGTGGATCTTGATTCATTCAAATCTTGTGGTTGCAGTCAAATGACCAAAAGCGGATGCACCGGCTAAGTACGGTGCCGCCCCGGGCATACGCCCCTGAAGATGGATGCCGGACCGGACTGGCGGCGGACGGGGGGGGGGGGGGGGGCGGCTGGTGCGCCGTGGCCTAGGGGAGGGGGTGGGTGCGCCGTGGCCTGGGGGCAGGTGAGGGAGGGGATCGTGGGCGGCTCGTGCCGGCTGTATTGACGCGATCCTGCTGACAGCGGCGGGCCGTGCTGTGATGGATGCCGAGTGGGCATCGCAGGTAATCAGCGTGCCGACATAGCTGCAGAACGAGCACCGCATGCACTTTGCACACACGCTCCTTACCTCCTTCCGTCAGAAAGCTGCCGAGTTATCGCGGGTCGAGTAAAATAAAAACGAAATTGGCAACGCTGCTGAGATGCGGCGCGATGAGCCTGAATGTGATAAGCCACAGTTGGGCCCATGACCATTGAGCTCGTGCAACGCGAGAGGTCAAGGGGGAGTCCTGTGCAGGCTACGAACTGGCCACATGCGCTTGCCTCACGCCGATCTGCTGTGTGCTGTGGGGGCCGATCTCGTTATTTTCAATGCGGTACACTGCTTAGCCGTCCGGCATGCCGCTCAGTTGTGTCTGGAGTCCACGTTGGAACGATTTCTTCTTTTCGGACTCGATCCTCTATTCCCTACATGCGCTGACATACTCGACAACGGCTCTCGCTTGACTTCAACGAGCCAGCGGTTTTCATTTCTAACAAGCCTTGTATTTTCAGCTGTTTCCATGGACCCTGTTACTCATTTAACTGCAGTGGATGCAGCACGGCAGCCCCGGCAGTCGCCGCACTGTAGACCCCGTACCGCCATGCAGGCCGGGCGGATGGGTTTCGCGGGTTATACAGGCCCAACATTTCTCTGCCCTACTCGGAGAGCCTCTGACTGCCGCTGGAACGCGGCCGTCATTGAGATACGCCCACGTCATTGACGTACGCCTACTCGTCGAATGAAACGCTGCTGGCATGAACGGATTAGCAGTTGTGGGCGCCAGAGAGGAAAAACGCAGATTATCGTGATTTCCGGGCTTGGTGGCCTCTGCGAGCGCGACCAACAACCTGACGTTTGTTGCTTTTTTCGTGGAAACGTTGAAAACCTGCCAATTCATGCCCGGTCCCCCGTTGTGTCCGTGCTGACCCACTGTCCGCGGGAGGCGAACACCGCACCAATCGGCCAGGCCAACCTGGCGCCCACGGCGGGAATAAGCGCGGAGCGTCAGGTGGCTGAGCCGTGTCTGAGCTTGGACCGATGGTGGTCGGCGGCAGTGGTCGTTGACGGTGTCGCTGTCGCTCATGGGCGTGCTCGGGCGCAGCGGGGCCCGGGCTGAACTCATGCATCCACGCATCCAGCGTGGCGGCGGAGCTCGGGATCAGCGCTACATCCGCACCGCGCCGTGCTGACTGATGTGTGGAGCTTTACATAACGAATGGAGTGAACATGTGCTCTTTTCCCTTTTTGACAAGCGAAGTGGATATGGGACACGATTTTGCTCAAAAGCAACGATGCTGAAGTCTTGACCTTTCGTTGTCATTGTCCGTGCAACTGTTAAGCTTGTCTTTTACAACGTGACTTGCTGCCGGCGCGGCCTAAAACTCCAATCATCATCACACCGAGAACAGGTCGCGTTCATGCCATGGATTGCCGTGACACCGTGCATACCATTCATTCTGTGTCACACGTCACTCATACATACGCCAGCACAATGCGCCCTTGTCAACCCCCACTCATTGTCATTAGCCCATTACGCAGCGTAACCAGTTTGTAACACCGGGACGCAGGAAAAAAAACACAGAGAACCAGCGAGCTGAAGTGGCGAGGAGACACGATCCTGCCCGACCGCTGGCTCCGCGCCAAGTGACCTGCGCCCTCCCCTTCCGTGCCCAGTGGGCTGTGCCGTGAGTTTGCCGTCCGTGCGCCATACGCGTCCGGCGCCGGGCTCCGTGCTGCGACCGGCGCGCGCCGTCCGCGCTCTGACCGTGCCCCTCCCTGTGTGTCCCGGCAGAGAGGCCCATCGCCACTCGTCACGATGGTGGACCCCAAGAAGACGGCGGTGAAGGAGGAGGAGGAGCCGGTCACGGCCGAGGCGCTCGAACGGCGCGGCAAGCGCTGGGCGGCCAACTTTCTGAAGCGGGAGCCGTCGCCCCGCCGCCTGCTGCACCAGCTGCTGGACAAGCTGCTCAGTCCGCTGAGACCCATCACCGACGACAAAATCGTCGAGTGGATGCGCTGGATCATGGCGGCCGACAAAACGCCGGAGGAGTTCGCCGAACAGGGTCAGTGGGTCGCGGCGGGCCCCGCCGCGCCGGCGGCCGCGTCTGGCGCGCCTGGCCCGTGCCAGCCGCCCTGTGCGGCTGGCGACGCGCAGACCGGGCGTCGACCGAGGCCGCACCCCGTCGCTGACCGGGCGACGGCCGCACTCGGACGGCACAGTCTCGGATGCGCCGTCGGCCGCCTCGCCTGGGTGGCCGGCGAGGCGGGCCGTTCTGTCTGTGTCTGCCCTGCTGTGGTTTAGCTAGTCCCGCCGTGCGATCGGCGCTGTTTTGTTTGGTTCTGACCGTCCGATCGTGGCATGTCCCGGCCTGTCCTGCCACCTGGCTTGTGCCACGCTGTGACGTCTTGTCCGCCGGTTTATGCCGCTCTGTCCCATCCTGTCCTGTGCTCTTTTCTGTCCGCGCGTCGTTCCCGTCTTCCTCGTTTTTTGTCCTTCCGCCTTCTCTCCTCTTCCGTGCCGCACTGTCTCGTCTCAACTCAACTCCTCTAATCTCATTTCATCTCATCTCATCTCATCTCATCTCATCTCATCTCATCTCATCACATTGTCTTCCCTCCCCTGCCCTCCTCTGCCCTCCTCTCACTTCTCTCCCCTTTCCTCCTTTACTCTTCCTTCCCCTCCCCACCCGTCCCATTCACCTCCGTCTTGTCTCGTTCCCATCTTCATCCCCGTCCCCATTCCCATCCCCATCCCCGTCCCCATTTCCGTCCCCATCCCCATTCCCTTGCTCTTGCCCGTGCCCTTGCCCTTGCCCTTCCCCGTCCCTGTCCCTGTTCCTGTTCCTGTCCCTGTCCCTGTCCCTGTCCCTGGCCCTATTCCTGCCCCTGTCCCTGTCCCTATCCCCGTCTCTGCCCATTCCCTGTCTGTCTCTGTCCCTGTCCCTGTCCCTGTCCCTGTCCCTGTCCATGTCCCTGTCCTCTTCCCGTCCCCTTCCCGTCCCCTTGCCGTCCCCGTCCCCGTTTCGTTCGCGGGCCAGCGCGATGCCCAGAGTCGCTGTCGCCGGCCCCCCGCGAGCGCTGAGTCACGCCGGCCGGAACCGTGCTGTTTACACGGATGGTGCCCCAGCTGCCACATCTGGGGCTGCTCTCAGCCGGGCCCCGGCACAGTGACCTTCACCGCACCGGGCCTCTCTTCTCACTCTAGATGGGCGCGAAACGACCCCAGCAGTTGATGCGCCAGAAACCTAGTAATCAATATGTGTATATATATATATATATATATATATATATATACATATAATATTAAATGCTCCTAAATCCTAAGACTAAGAGAATTGCTGCAACGCCCGCATACCGAAAAGTTATCAATGTTAAAGTGTCACACCCAAGTGGATGCCCTCGGATGGGCGAAGGGTCTGGGTTAGACAGAATGCTACCTGTACAATCAGACCTTCCCAAATGTTGCCGCACTGTGCAGTGCAAATTAAGAAGGGTTGAACTCACGCAAGATGTTCTACATGAAGTACAACAATATTGATTGTGACTGCAGAACATTTGGGAAGCTTGTCTCTTAACCTGAAGAAGATCTAACAGTAAAAGGGTTTACTAATGTAATTGCAGTGGACTGAAAGGGGTAAAAACCTTATAGTAGGTTTGCAAGCTCATTTTTCATTTGTCGCGTGATTTGTGTTTTTTTAAGCTTTCCTGTTAGTGCACAGAGAGGTCGTGTTGAACTGTGTTAACTGTGACTGTTGTGAGGTCTAGCATGTTGGTTAAATGGTCTTAAATTTCTTTGTAACTTGATTAAATTTGCACCATTGTACTCGTCCTGATGATGATACGCAATATATCGATGATACGCAATATATCGATGATACGCAATATATCGAAACGTTGACAACTACATAAATGATCGTGGCTGCTGCACTTACCATACAGTCTATTGCTATATATATATATATATATATATATATATATATATATATATATATATATGTATATAATCTAATATACATTTATAGCATCCGATAGGCTCTTTTTTAACCTTTGAACAATTGAAATTGGGAAGCCGTTTCCATGAAAGAATTATCTGCGCCGCTCGAGTTCGGAACAAAAGAGTTAATAGTTGTATCTTGACCGGAAAGCTCTTAAAATAGCTGTTTTTTCACCACATGGCGTAGAAATGTCGAAAATGAATGAGAAAAAGCTCAGCCCGATGCCAGTCAATGTGGGCTTTCTTTAGGCAAGGGTGTCAGATTTGCCTTGCAACTTTAAAACTCACATCAAAGAAAGGCAAGGAGCCAACGTCATCCTCTCCCTCCTTCGTAAATTGGATATTAGAATGTTGGACGTGAAGACAAATGAGAAATTGATCAATATGCGACCTGTGCCGAAGCAACGGGAAGGAGTCGTCAAGGTATCGCTGATAGACTCCTGGTCGACAGTCAGGGGGCGGGGGGGGGGGGGGCGGTTGGATAGCCAGTGCTTTTCGTGAAAGCACATGGATATATTGGCAAAGGGGGTTCGAGTGGAGCTCCCATCCCTACGCCTTATTTTTGTCTTTACAGTTTGTCATTGAGGACAAATAAGGAGTTCATGACAGCGAGTTCTAGTAGAGAGCGAAAACAAGCCGTAGTGAACCCGTGAGCGTAGAATAGGGCACAGATATGTTGTTCACGCAACTGTTTATCATTTCTTTAAGCGCGGAATATATGTAAAAAGGCTGTCAACGTGAAGGCTCACCATATCTGTACCTTCCGAAAACCCAAGTTGTGAATTGTTTTGTGCAAATTGAATAGAATTAAACAGAGTTCATTTATGCTTAATGGCGTAAGCAATGGTACGAATCATTTGGATAGTTATAGGAGGGCGTGCCTCAAGCTGAAAAAATTGGCCTTGAAGGAACAGAGGGTTTGTAGATTTTGGGAAGACCATACGGGATCCTAGTAGTGCTCTCGGGTACGTGAAGCTCTGTAAAGTAATATCCTGTACTTGCTTAGCAGATTTTATTGTTGGTTGTTGAACCGCCATGAACTTTGAGCCGCAGAGCACGAACCTCTGTCTTTGGAAAGCCCACGTTTGCTAGGGTTGAACTGAGCCTTTTCTTGCTCATTCCAGACGCTTTAAAGCTATTTGGTGTAACAGCTATTTACGGGACTTTCCGTTTAAGTTTCGACTTTAAACTCTTATTCCGAACTTGATCTGACTTTTGATCATCTGTAGGTATATATATATATATATATATATATATATATATATATATATATATATATATATATATATACACCTCTGTCTCTGTCCGTGTCCCTGTCGCACCTGGCCTCCCTGTCCTTGCCCTTGTCGCATGGCGGGCGCAAGTCCGAGACGCTGCCGCCTGACATTTTACGCCCGCCTGACGTTCGGACGTGTGGTTCTTGGAGCAGCGTGCTCTGGCCTTGTGGGCTATCAGGGCCCAGTCATCCCCAGACGCAAATTGCAGCGAATACCAGCAGTGTGTACTGGACCATGCTGGCTCAAGGCTAGGCGGCTTTGCACTAATGATGCATGATAACCATCGTGGCAGTTTACAGGACGTTTTCACGTCACATTCCTGGTAGTGTATACGTGCAATCGTTCCTGTGCCCCAGCACAGGGTTAGGTTAGACGACGCGTGGATGTTGGGTGACGTTCTGCGTTCTGCAATAGCAGCTTATTGCTTTGGGATGCAATTCTGTTGCGCTGTCTGCAGACATGTCCCTCTCCGCCCGTCCGGCGGAAACCGTTGACCCCCCCCCCTCCCCCCCCCCGCTCTGCCCCGCAGTTCGAAGCTATGACAACGCCCAACGCTGCGGTATGGTGTGGACGGCCAACTTCGTGGCGTACCGGTGCCGCACGTGCGGCATCTCGCCGTGCATGTCGCTCTGCGCCGAGTGCTTCCAGCGCGGCAACCACGACGGCCACGACTACAACATGTTCTGGTCGCAGGCCGGCGGCGCCTGCGACTGCGGCGACCCTTACGTCATGAAGCAGACCGGGTGAGAGAGCGCGATGCGGCCGGGACGGCCGAGCTGTCGGCGGCGTGCCCCGCTGGGGCGTGGCAGGCTCTCAGGCGTGTGCCGAGTGCTCGTTTGCTAGTTGGTTTTTTGCTCGTTTGTTAAGGCTATCGCCGACAGATAATGTCATGCTGGCATGCGAAGTCACTAGGTGAGACGCAAGCGCGCCCTGCGCCGCTCGGTGAAGCGCGGGTCGCCGCGCCGTGGCCGAGCAGGCTCCGCACGGGCAGCCGAGCTCGACCGCGCCGACGCCGCGTGCCGTGCACCCTGCCGTCGCCGCCGCGATGCTGCGCCGCCGCTCTGACGCGGCCTCGGTCCGCCCGGCGCGGCCAGGTTTTGCTCGCTGCACGGCCAGATGGACCCGTCGGCGCAGGTGCGGCCGCCCGACTCGCTGATGCAGCTGCCGCGCGAGATGATGCCGCGCATCTTCACCCGTCTGCTCGTCTACCTGCGCATCAACAGGTGGGTGAACGGGGCGCGCCCGGGCCAGGGGCGACTCCGCGGCGCGTGGCCGGGCCGGCGGCGCGAGCCGCGCTCGCCGGCCGGCCGGCGCACGTGTTGCCGGGGAGTGGCCGGCCGCACGTGCTGTTTACATGCCGCGCCGGCGGTGCCGCGTACCGGCGCTGCAGCGGCGATACGAATCTGCCGGCGGCGGCGGCTCGACGGTCAGCGGCCGTCGCGCCCGCGACCGTGACCCTGAACTGACCTCGCCTGGTCTCCGTGCCAGCCGTCCGGAGAGTCTAGAGAGTAACGACGCCAGCAACGCCATCATGCAGCGGCTGGACGGCTACCTGGGCTTCCTGCAGGACCTCTGCAACATGCGCACCGCCATGCGGGCGTGCATGACGGAGGCGCTGACCAGCAGGGAGGTGAGCATGCTGGGCTGTGTTGTGACGGCGGCGCGCGCCGTCGCCGGCGCCGTCCGTGCCCACGCGTCTCTCTGGCGCTGTTTAGGTGGGTCGGTCGCCGGTCTGGGCGCGGCCGGCCGGCGCTGGACGCCGCGTCGACCGCTCCCCGGCCGTGTGTGTATGTGTGAGAGAGCATTCCCAGCGCGGCGGCGAGGTGCGGCCCGGCGGCGGCGCCCCCGGCAGGTCTGGTGTGGGGCCCTGTCCGCAGACGGGGCCGACGTCTGCGCTCGAGCAGGCGCCCGCGGCCCGTGCCGGCGGAGGAGGCGACGCGGGAGGGGGAGGGGGAAGTATGCAAGCGCCGGAGGTGTTTGTTGTTGCGGGTGCTTAGCCGGCGTTCCTGGAGTTGGCCGCGGCCACTTGCCGTGTCTGAAGAGGCCCGCCGTCGCGTGACGCTGTGACTGACGTGCCGGTGTGCTGACGGGTCCTGGAGCTCTCCGGGGGCCGGCGCAGCCTTCCTTGTTGGTGTCCGCACGTAGCGTCCACCCCGCCGGGCGGCTGTGCCCCGTGCCCGCCGGCGGACCGGCGGCCAGCCGGGCCAGCCGCGCCCTTCGACCTTCGTGCTCGTCGGCCCGACCTTCGTGCTCGTCGGCCCGAGCCGCGCCTCATCGCCACGGCCCGTGCCCGCAGCTGTACCGCGACATGGACCTGGGCACCATCACCCAGGACGACTCGCACGGCGAGATCAAGCTGCTGCGTGAGGCGTACCGCAACTACGTGGAGGCGGTGAACAGCATGCCCAACCCGGACGTGGCGCCCGAGCTGCGCGGTGAGTGCGGCGCTTCGCTGGCGGCCCGGCTGTCGCGGCCGGCGCCAGGGAGGGGTCAGGGGCGGTCCGACTCGGCCGACGCCGGGAGCGGCCGCCGTCGGGGTCATACTGGCTGGGCCTGCGACAGGAAGGGTCAGGGGCGGTCCGACTCGGCCGACGGCGAGAGCGGCCGCCGTCGGGGTCATACTGGCTGGGCCTGCGACAGGAAGGGTCAGGGGCGGTCCGACTCGGCCGACGGCGGGAGCGGCCGCCGTCGGGGTCATACTGGCTGGGCCTGCGACAGGAAGGGTCAGGGGAGGTCTGATTCGGCCGACGCGACGCCTGTCACTGTCCCCTGTCTGGGCGCTGTGTCGCTCCCGCGCCCGCAGCCTTCTCTTCCCCGTGCCCTCTCCGATCTGGGCGCCGTGCGTCTGCCGTCGTGCTGACCGGCGCACCGCCTCTGCCGCAGCGCTGTCGCCGGCCCTCCAGGAAAACATCCAGCACGAGACGATGCTGGACGAGCTGGTGTTCTGGACGTACAAGTACGAGTTCCCCACCAAGCTGGTGTGCCTGCTGCTCTACATGCTGCCCGACCAGCGCTACAAGGTGACCTCGCGACGGTCCTCGCGCCACCGAAGACGTCCTCTCCCGTTGTGGCACTGACGCCCTGCTTTGTGACGTGCCGTACACAGTTGGCCTGTGATGGAGTGGAGCCTTGTGGGGAGGCTGACTGCTGCTGCGGGTGGGGTTGGATGTCTGTGTAGGGCAGTCATGTAAGGTCAGCTTAGGGCCGTGCTCCGTGCTGACGTGATCACCAGACTTGTACTCATGCGTCAAATGCATCAGTGGCGAATGCGAAGGGGAAAGAGGGGGATGATGAACGTCTCGAGCGAGCTGCCGGTTGTGGCAGCGACGCTTCTGGTCGCTGAGGCCCGGCCTTTTGCTCCCTGCTGGCGACTGTGTCCGCCAGGGCCAGCGACCGCCTCGGTCATGTGCGCACATTCGCCTCACAGCCGTCGGACGGCTGCGTGCTAGACGCCGCCGGCGGTGGCGCGCGCCCGGCCGTCTCCCGACCCAGCTGACGCGGCGCGCTCTCCGTCGGCAGGAGTGCTTCACGCGCGCGTTCGTGCTGCACTACGCGCGCATCTCGCAGATGCTGTCGGCCAGCACCGACCCAGACCCGCTCACCAACCGGGTGGTGCACGTCAGCGTTCAGCTGTTCAGCAACGAACAGTTGGCGCTGCGCATGACCGAGGAGCTGCATCTGCTGCACGCCATGGTCATCAGCCTGAAACACATGACCAGCCAGATCCTGATCAGCAGTCAGCTGCACGGTGAGGGTGCGCGCGCGGCGGCAGCGGCGGCCGGGCTCGGGACCGAAGTCGGCCGCGCCGGGGCTCTCGCGTCGCGGCGGTTAGGCCGGGCTGGTCGGAAGTGTGCTCCACGACCTGGCCCGGTGTAACTGTCGCCGGTGTTTCTCCGCTTTTTGCGGATGGCTGCATGTGGGTTGTAGCGACAACGGGAAAAGAGTCCTGCACCGTCGGGGCACACTCACCCGACAGAAATTCGAGACGCGTGATGTCATGGTTTACGAGCTGAAACACAGCCAATTCTTCGGGCGAGTAGGCGGCTCAGAATATTCCCACGACGCCGTGGTCCGGTGGCCTTTGTGCCACCAGCTTTGTGGCCTTCCAATCCTCCGGGCTATCCCAGTGCGGAGGCTTTTGTCCGCTGCGTTGGCATGTGAGCCGCGATCACGCTTACGCCGCGCACCGCGGGGCTATCGATGGCCTGTGTCACCAGTCACGGTACACGCGGCCGGCGGGCCGCGGGGGGCGGCGGTTTTCCTCGTGGGTCCCGCCGGGCCGCGCCGCGCGCTGTGGATGGGATGTCGCTGACGTTGATTGTATGCGACCTCGCTCAAAGGGGCCGCGGTTTTGGACCGATTACCAGATAGCGTCAGCACTTGACCGCCATTGCGAAGGCCGCATTTTGCAAGTCCCAGTTTTTGATGGCTGAACAAAACTCACGGTCGTTTTTGAACGGTGTGATAACCATCTTCGAGACGGAAAAAATGAACACATCGAATGAGAAAGCCACTATGGTTGTCAGTGCGCCGTTTTTGGTGTTTTTTTTTTACCCATGCGTTGACTTTGGCAAGGCTCGTTGCTAAGTCGGCATGCCTGTGGCCACTGCTAACAGCTGTTGGACACCGTGACAGTGTGCGCGGCGCCCCCATGCACAAGGCGATTTGGCCGCTGCTGCCTTTGGGAGGACATTCTTGTGACATCTGTGACTGGAAAGGCTGGTGGCTTTCCCGAAATACCTCAGTGGGGCAGTACATGATAAGTGTACGGTATCAGTACAAATGCGGGTAAAAAAGGACGTACGCTATTGATAACCTCGCGTCTTTGCAGACATTCGTCTATTTTTGGTCGCCCTTCAAGTCACTACGTGAGAATGCTATCGGTAGAAATTCCTTACTGGGAACACGATCAACATGAAAAATACACCTGGCTGTCGTTTTGTGGTGGCGATACAATGTTAGTCGGTTAGTCGTGAATCACCATCAGAAACATGTCAAAGGCAGTGAATGCATCATATCCCACTTTGGGCAGCGTTACATCGATACTCGTTTGGCGTCAATCCAGCGGAGAGTATTTACCAGCGGAGATGGTGTCACGCCATCGGTTGACGGCACTCAGCTGCGCATTAGTATTCATAAATACAGCGTCTCCATTTTCTCGCCACAAAAGAGCAGGATGATGATGTGGTTAACGCCTTCACATATTTTTGGTTAATTAACCTGGCTGTCGGGCACCGACTTATCCGGAGGTGTTAATCGAACGGTATGCGGATGTCCAACTGGTCACCCAAGTCTTTGTCCTACATGAACCAGCAAGCCGAATCAATGCATGCGGCTTGCCCCCCCCCCCCCCCGCTGTCGCTACCCCACCCCACGCGAGGTTTGGTACCAACTGCTGCCCGGTCGGTGTGGACTCGGCGCTGCCGGGGGCGCGCGAGGCGTGCGCGGGCGTCCAAGGCGTCGGCGGCGCCGCCGTCCCGCCCGCCCGCCGGCCGGTCCGCCCTCGCCGTCCATCCTATCCTAACGTATCAAACGAGTTGGCTGCTGCAGCGCAGTCGTTTGGCGCCGGCGCGCGCAAAAATGCCGGCCGGGGCGCCGCCGGCCGCCGCGCTGCCGGCCGCCGCGCCGCCTGCACGGCCAAGCGGCTGCAGCGGCCGGCTCGGCCCGGCGGGCGGTGGGCGGCGCCGCGCTGTCGGGGCGACGCCGCCCGCACCGCCGGCCGTCGGGGCCGGTGCGGTGTATGGGCCTGGCCTACGACACGGGACCCCGACACGGGGCGCGACACGGGACCGTGGCACGGGGCGCGACACGGGACCGCGACACGGGACCGCGACACAGGACCGGGACGGGACCAACGACAGGGGACCATGACAGGAACCACGACACGGGGCCGCGACGCGAGAGCGCGACACGGGGCCACGACGTGGGACCGCAACACGATACCTCAACACAGGACCGCGACACGGGTTAACGCCGCGAGATCGCAAGAGGAGCCGCCGCCGCGAGACGGCGACATGACGCGAACGTGACGTGCCGTGAGCCGGGGACGGGCGCGGGCGCCGTGACGTAGCGCGGCGGCCGAGGAGTGGCGGCCGGTGCTCGTGCACCGGTCGAGGGCGCGGCCGGACGGCACCCGGCCGGCAAAAACAGCCGGGCCCGCATGACAACTGTTGCCGAGACCCGCCCTCGCAAGAACCGGCCTGCGTCGTGGCGGCCGGGCGGGAGCCGGGGACGCCGGACGCCTGTGCTGGACGCGGGGCGCGGTGCGACGCAGCGGTGTTGGGGAGTGGCCAGCTCTGGCATTGGACGCCGTTTGTCAGCCCGGGGTGGCACTGACGGCGGTGGGAGACGATACACATATGTTTGTATATACCGGTTGTATTCTCGGTAAAGATCACGCTTCCTGGTCCGATGTAAATTGGTTATTGCCCCCGCGCTTAATGCGGTCAAAAGGATTAGCAAATTTCTTACCGGCCATTAAATGTGGAATGTTGGACCCGTGAAAGACAAGGCATAGAATCTCCACCTCGTTGCGTCATGCTTTCCCGGAACGGAGATGTTGGGTGAAAACAGCGCAGTTGGCCATATGTTGTACCGAATCCAGACATGCACTTGGTTACAGCTGTGGTAAAGAATGTCTGTGGCCAGGATATCTGATGCGGCGACTTATGAAAACCTGGAGTGATTAAAGCTGATTGTAGTTGGAGACGACCTATCTGAATAGCATCAGAGGCATCACGTATGGTGGCCACGTGCACTCCCATAATTGGAGCGTGGGTTGGGGTTAGTGATGATTAATGGTGTGCATGCTCGGGTGTTTAAGTTACTGTTAATTTATGTCGAGTTGCTGCGGATGGATGTCGCATTTCGCCGACTCAACTGGAAAGGGCTAGCAAAAAGGCGTTTTATTAACTGAACTAGTAGAGTGTTGCGACTGATTCCTCCCGGTTCATACAGCATCTTTCTTCTTGCCAGAATTCCTCCCTGCACGTTGCAATTATTTTGAAAATGGCCTTCACAGGAGATCAATGGCAAGCGAGTACTACTTGGCAATTCTCTCCTTTCAATTGTGTTTTCGTCCGTAGCGTTACGGCCAAAGACAATGGTTGGGATTGGTAATATTTCACTCTTTAGTGAAGGTAGGTTAAAAAAAACTGTCGTCTTTGGGGATTAGTCTTCTGTTCTGTTCGTTGTAAATCCAGATCGGCTTAGGCTATCCTTTTAGGAACGAAACCGCTAATGCGTGACCTAATTAAGGCGACGTACGAAGCCAGGCCGTCACCGTGTCAGCCGTGGTCGGCCTTCGTCACCGTCAGCCCTCTCGCCGTGCACCGTCCCACATCTGCTCACAGTCACCTGGCGTACACTGGACGGCGTTTCTTGCCCACACGTCACGAAGTGTACACCGTCTGGGCGCTCGCATGGGCCTCAAGCCGACATCTGCTCGCAGTCACCTGGTGTACGCCGGACGGTGTTTCTTGCCCACGAGTCACGAAGTGTACACCGTCTGGGCGCTCGCATGGGTCTCAAGCCGCGGAGTGTCGGCCGTTTGGCTGAGCGGGTGCCGACACGTGACGGGCTGTGTTGACGCGGCCGCCGCTCCTCCGCAGACCCCGCCCGCAACACGCACCGCGTGGCCAGCTGCGGCGACAAGATCATGAAGAACCACTGCTACTGGCCGCTCGTCTCCGACCTCAGCAACGTGCTGGGTCACAAGCAGGTGGCGCTGGCGTTCGTGTCGGATGACGGCCTGCTGCAGATGTGGTTCTCCTACCTCTCCATGTACCAGGGTCAGTGGAGGGCTCGCGCGCCGCCGCTTTTGCGCGGTGCCAACCGGAAGGCAACTCACGCGCCAGTAAAAATATCCGTCCCTCCCGCTCGTGTCGGCCGCCGGAGTGATGTGGGTGGTGCCAGCAGTACGTCACTCACACATGGCCGGGGTCAGCGCGCCGTTAGGCCGGTGTGCCGCGGGCGCCGAGCCGCGCGCGCTGCTCGGCGCCCGTGGTTCTGCCGCGTCGCACCGCCATCCAGAACAATGGCGTGCCGGGGGGCCTCTGCAGATGACTCAGCTGGTATTGTGGACGTCTGGACCGCTTTCCACGGAGCCTTTCCAGGCGGCCGGCACGGCATCGCCGCGTTGCAGTCGCACCGGTGCGCCGCGTGCGCTCGCCCGGCCGGCGGCCGCCGGAGCCACGCGAGCCGGTGTCGGGGGGCGCGGTGGGCGGCGCGGCCGTTTTTGTCGGGCGATCCCAGCGGCGGCTGACGTCAGGCCGTGAGTCAGGCGCGGCCGGGCGCCCCGGCCGCTGCGCATGTGTCCCGAGCCCGAGCCGGAGCCGGAGCGGCCGCTGACCGCCGCCCGCCGCCCACCGCCAGGTATGAACGTCAACATCCGACAGCTGGACGCCCACGTGGACATGGAGCCGTCCACCTACTACGCGGCGTTCTCGGCCGAGCTGGAGGGCTCGGCCACGCCCATGTGGGCGCTGCTGACGCACCTCAAGGAGCCGGGCACGGCCGACCTGACCAAGCGGCTGCTGCGGCACGCCTATGGGGCGCTGCAGCAGTGGCACGACGCCATCGGCTGTCCGCAGACCTACGTGAGTGCGGCGCGGCGACCGGGTGGCCGGTCGGTGCCCACGCTGACCTGCTGCCGCGGAGCGGGGCGGGGGGGGGGGGGGCGGGGCGGGGGCCACCGCCGGCGGCAGTCGCAGCTGACGCCGTCGGTGCTGGGGCCCGCCGGCGGGTTGGCCGCGTGACATCTCGGTGGTGGAATGTAGAGGTGCTCTGAAGGGAGAATGCTGGCAGGACTGGCGAGGCTTCGATACGGACATGATGGCTGCGATGTCTGTCGGCCTGTGTCCCGTTTGTCGCACTGCCCGGTCCTCCCCATCGGTCCCAGTGACCAGGCTGTCCCGGCTACCGTCTGGTCCGCCCCACCGACTGCTTTGTGTCCCCTGTATCACCCGGTCCGGCCAGCTGACCGTTGTCCGTGCTCTGCCCGTCACGCAGGAGGAGATAGTCGAGGACCACAGCATGGACCTGCGGTGTACGTTCCACCTGCCGCTGCACCGTTACGTGGCGCTCATCATATCGGAGGCGGTGAAGCGACAGGGTGTCAGTCTGGCCGAGCTGCTGCCGGCCGGCAACACCATGATCACCCTCATCAGCCACCTGCTCAAGCTTCAGGTCGGTGGACCAGCAGCCGGCCGGTGGCCACACACAGGGCCACCCTGGAAAAGTCTGCCGACCGGCATGCTGAAATTCTGGCGAGCCATTGCGATGCAGTTTCATCGCAGAAATTGAGGTCTTCCCCCCACGGTGCTATCCGAGTGATGTGTTCCCCCGCTGGTTGCACATTACAGAGATCATTTACTTTCTGGGAGTCGTTCTGCACGAGCGTGTCGTCCTTGGCGCTGGCAGCTATGGCATGAAGTCGGTCATGAGCCAGCAGCGCCCGGGCCGTAGCGGACCGCGCCGAGCGGGCGGCCACCGAGAGAGCATCGTTTTTCTCCTTGTGGACCTGTGCAGGGACTGTGCACGTTCGCGATGTAGCTGTTTGGGCGTGCTCAGCCGAGCGGGCGCCCGCTGAGAGAGCATCGCTGTCCACCCCGTACCCCGCGCGCGATGTAGTTGTTTGGGTGTGCTCCCAGCGCCGCCCGGCTGACGCCGCGCTGTCGGCCCGTCCGCCCGCAGGTCAGTTTTCACGAGATATCGGCCGGCATGTGGGTCCGCAACGGCAACCAGATGAAGGGCCAGACGATGACGTACACGCAGTGCCACTTCTGCTGCTCGATGGTGGACCCGGACATCTACCTGCTCCAGCTGGGCGCCATGACGCTCGACCCGGACAAGTTCCTCACGCTCGTCCTCAAGAAGTGAGTGCCGCGCGCGAGCTGATGCGAGCAGCGGGCTGGCTGTGCTCGAAGGCGTGGCGGGTGCGAGGCGGGCGTGTCGTCACGGGCGTGTGGAAACGGCGCTGTCCGCTGACCGGTCCGCAGGGACTGCTCCGACCTCTGGTCTGGTCGCGAGTGTGTGTGTGTGACATGCTGTCCGTGCGTGCTCCCCCTCCCCTCCCCCTCCCTCCCCCGTCCCGCCACCGATGGTCGGCGCGTTCCGCGTGTGGCGTTCCCTCCCCAGTCGGCGCGACGTGCTGACGTGCGCGCGCCGCCGCCAGGTTCCACGTCTGGGACTGGCTGAGCTTCGCGCCGAACGCCACCAACTCGTTCCTGGAGGCCGACCAGGAGATCCCCATGGTGGAGGCGTGCCTCACCTTCCTGGCCACGCTGCTGTGCGTGCGCACCTGCGCAGGTGAGTGACGGTGATCGCCGCGGTGGGCTGCGGCTGACGCCCGGGCGACGGCGCAAGAGGCGACCAGCGCCCGGCACCGATGGAGATGGAGGTCGTCTGATCCGGGCGGCCGGGTGATCTCCGGACGCCACGCCGGCGGCTGGTCCGCGCGGTGCTGGCCCGGGGTGCGGCTGCCGCTCCGGCTGCGTACGTCGCGGCTGGTGCGGACGTGCGGCTGGTGGACTGTGTTGTAGGGATGGTTGGTGGGCTGTGTTGTAGGCGTGGCCGGGGTTTGCTGCCGTCACGTTCCGCTGACGCTCTGGGCGTCCGCCCGCCAGGCATCCCTGAGGACGAGCTGGCTCGGCTGGAGATCGCCACGCAGCTCTGCATGGGCGACAAGACGCACAGCCAGCTGATGGACCTGCTGCCCGAGAAGTCCGAGACGATGAACAACACCACCCTGTTCGAGACGGCACTGGCCTATGTGAGCTCCCAGCCGTGTCAACTGCGGCCCTGGTGTTAGCTGCAACGTGGCCTCCTTGACATGTAGTCATCGGTGGTAGCCGCTCTTATCCGTCGCTCATTGATTGCTACGTCATGCAGCGTTGAGCCGCGGGTGTTGGGGGCGTGATTTGGGTGGTGACAGACGGGAGCCAGCCGGCGCCTCGTCTGACTGAGCGTCTCGCCGACCTCACCGACCCGTCTGACCCGGCCGGCCGGCGCGGCAGGTGTCCCGGTACCGTGGCCCCGCCTCCGAAGCCTCCGGCAACATGCAACAGGGCATCTACGGCCCCAAGGTGGAGGTCTGGGACACGCTGTACGACCCGATCTACGTCTTCCTGCGCGCCATGGTCCGCAAGGAGTTCCAGGGCTCCATGGACCGGTTCACGGCCTAGTGAGTAGGAGCCGCTCTCCCCGGCAGCCCCCGCTCGGTGGCGCGGCCTCGCGCTGGTATCACCTGTGTGCCATGTTGTCCACACTGTTCGCCGCGTGCACCCTGGCCATGGCTTCCCGCTGTCTGCTCCGATGTATGGATAGGTACATGCCATCACGACGCTCACCGCCAACAGAACGCCATCGAAGTGTTTCCGATGCGTGACCAGGCGTTCGACTGCACTTAAGCCCAGGTCGGAGTAACCTTGTCTGACAACCGCGCGTCCGTGTGCAACGCGCTCGCGTTCCCCCGTCGCCGGCGTCTCTCCCACCGGGCTGCGTGTGGCGTGCGCGTGCTCCGCCGGTGACGCCCGCGCGCCCGGCCGACAGTGTGAAGAGCACCGGTCAGTACGCCGACTCGAAGGGCTCGCCGTGGCCGCCGTACAAGGTGCCGCAGTCCGGGCCGCCGCTGGCCGACTGCCCGGACGTGCGCCGCATTCTGCACTGCAACACGTTCTACGGCGCGATGCTGGCCATCCTGCGCCGCTGCGTGGCCGACCCGCTCGTCAGCGAGCAGGTCATGTCGCTGGCCGTCTTCCTGCTCGAGATGGCCGTGCGCAAGCCGGAGAAGGAGTTCACCGGACAGGTGAGGCCGCGGGGTGGCGCGTGCTGGGTGTGGTGCGGCGCAGCAGGCTGGTGGGGTGTCCGCCACGCCAGCCAATCCGGCCGAGGTGCGATGTGGTGACGGGTGGCTGCTGCCGCTCTCTGTCTGCGTCTGTGTGTCACTGTCCGGCGCCCGGCGGGGCGAGGTCGGCCGCTCCCCGACCTGACCTGAGCGGGCGCCGCCGCCGCAGGAGATGTTCCGCACCGACATGGACCAGCCGGACGAGTGCGAGGACCTGCGCTTCACCGAGTGGTTCTGCACGCCCTGGAGCGTCGACAACCTGCGCCGCGTGGTCGACAACGTGACAGTGCGCACCGAGCGCGTCTACCCGTCGTCGTCCAGCAGCGAGAGCGGTCAGTAGCGCGCGGCAGGGCCCCGCCGGCGGCCGGCCGCCGGCGCTGGTGTGTGGTGGGCGCGCGCTGTCGGCGATGTTTTTGGCAAGGACTGGGTGGGGCGTGCTGCAGACCAGCGATAACGTGCCGTTGAAGTGTGGGTGGGGCGGTGGTTTTGTGGTCGCTCAGGTGCACGCTAGAGGTCGTGATGTGCTTCTTACGGCAGTGGCGGCGAGCCCGGCCTGTGGCGAATGAGTCCGGCGCTGGTCTGGCGAGAGCCGCGTGCAGAGCCGGCGTCCGCGTCTGGCGCTGACTCCCCGCGCGCCTCGCGCTGACCGTCCGCCGCCCGCCGCCAGACGAGATGCTGATGGAGTCGATGGACATGGTGGTGGAGGACTCGGAGGAGGCGGAGGAGGAGGAGGAGGACGGCCTGCTGCAGCTGTCGCCGGACGGGCCGGCGCCGCTGCCGGCGCTGGCCGGCGGCCAGACCGGCCGCATGCCCGCCCTGCTGGCCGGCACCGAGGTCGGCCGCCTGCCGCCCGCCGAGCCCATGGACCAGGCGGCGGCGGCCGACAGCGGCCCGCTCGCCGCCGCCGCCGCCGCCGCCGACCCGCTGGCCGGCCCGTTGGCGCTCGTTGCCGGCAACGAGCTGGTGCCGCACGCACCGCAAGGTGTGTAGCGGCGGCGATGTGGCGTGCCGGTACACGGGGAGCTGGCGTCTCCGCGTGCGATAGCCCTTGCTCACCGAGGTGACCGCGCGTGTATGAGTGTCACCGCGCAAACATGCGAGCAGACGTCCGTCTGTGCAAACGGCCCGGCGCCCACGCGAATGCCGCCACACGAGCGTCGGCGTGCTCTCACGCTATCAACTCCAGCGACCGCCAACCGTTGTGTCCAGCTGTGCGAACTTTCCGTAAGCCCAGGTGCGCTGTAACCCTGCATCGCTTTTCTTTCACTCATTACGCCGCCCACGAGCGGCGGCGCGTTGCCGGTGGCGACAGCACCGCTGCCAGCGCACCTGCCCGGCCGTACCGGTGCTGACCGCGGCCGCCGCGCCCCGGCAGGTCTGCTGCGGCGCGCGCCGGCCTCGCACGACATGGGCGAGTCGTGGTTCGGGCCGCGCGGCCTCCGTGACGCCGCCACCACGTCCACGACCTCGGTGGCGTTCGGCGACTCGATCGTCTCGCTGCTGCTCAAGCTGCACAGCAAGCTGAGCGACCAACCCGACAGCTACCGCGTGCCGTGCGACGAGCAGCTGGCCGCGCACCGCGAGTCGCGGGTCGGTACGTGCCGCCGCCGCCGCCGCCGCCGCTGGGGCCGCTCTGGTGCCGGACCGCTCCGGCGTCGGCTGTAGAGGTGTACCAACCCGGCTGGTGACGTTGACTCTGGTTGTGGAAGGTGGCTGCAGCGAAGGCAGCTCACGAGATGAATGAATCCGCTTTCGATTTTCTGGCCGGCCGGCTTGCTGACAGTGTGCGGATGTGATGTATTTCATACAGGCTCTCAGGCATCTTGGTATAGTTGCACACTTGTCAAACCGTTTAAGCACTATCTCATTGCCGTCTCGTTTCCAGGAAACGGTCCGCACTTCGTGGGTCAGTTGCTGACTTTCATCGCCAAGAAGGACCCATTGCTGAAAGAGCACATCAATCAGACACGGAATCGCCTGTGGCCTCGGGTGGTACGTACAGTCGCAGCCGGCCCCGTGTCCATGTGGATGTTACGACGGCCACCACTGTAGTGACGTGCTGCTTCTGGAGCCATCTCGGGTACTGGCCTTCCCGGTCTGTCGCCGTCGAGCGCGGTATGAGCCGTGCACCGGATCATCCCGCCTGCCCCGCCGTGTGCCTGCGATTCGCCGGCGGGCGCAGGATCCCCGCGTGGCGTGCGGAGACCGAAAAGTCGCGAGAGAGAGAGAGAGAGAGAGAGAGAGAGGGTGCGCCTGTCGTGCGGCGCCCCGGCTCCGGCGCCAGGCTGCGCGCCTCTCGTCGCCCAGCCTCTGACGGAGCGTGCGCGCACGCTGCCAACAGACGGAGGACGAGACTCCGCGCAGCGAGGACCGCGAGGCGCGGCGTCGCCTGGCCCGGGAGCGACAGCAGCGCCTGATGCGCCAGTTTGCCAACCGACAGCGCCAGTTCCAGGAGCAGATGGAGACCGGTGAGTGACGCCGCCATGCCCACGGCGGCGGCGAGCCTGCGCGTCCGCCACGCACGGCCGCGCTGTCCAGCTCTCTCGGTGCGCCTGATTCGTTCCCAGTCGGTGGCAGTGCCACGCCTGCACGTGTCACACTCAGCGTACGGTATTGATGTGCACTTGGACCCACCAGCTGATCACGCGGCATGAGGCGCCATGCTGAGTCACTAATGGCCACGAGCCGCACTGGACCTGTGGTCGTTCCCACTCGTCAGACGGGTCTGGTGCTGGCGGCCTGACCCACCCGTCCGCCCCCGCGTTGGCCGCACCCAGCTCACGCCGGCGCCCACGCCCGTGCCGCAGAGGAGCCCGAGGCGGCAGCCAGCAGCCGGCGCGCACGCAACGTACGCGAGTACGACTGCGTCATCTGCGGCCAGAGCTCAGCCAGCACGGACGAACGGCCGTTCGGGCTGGTGGTGCTGCTGCAGGCCACCTCGGTGCTGGCGCACCAGCACACCAGCACCGAGCCCCTGCAGCTGCCCACCGACCAGCAGTCGAGCCTGCAGCTGCGTCACCGGCTGCGCCACAACCGCGCCGGCTTCCTCGAGCACCGCCACGAGCGCCTCGGCAACACCTTCGAGAACGTGAGTCGGCGCCGGCCGCCGCCGCGGCTGGGGCGGGCAGACCGGGGCCGTCTCCCGACTGGCACGTATTTTCGTCGGTGATGCGCGGGGTAGGCGGCGGCGAGCGGCAGCGGTCACCCCGATAAGTCGCGACAGTCGTCATCGGTGTCGCGAGCCACTGAGCCCTGTCACGCCGGCGGGTAAGCGGATTGCGGACCGGTCGGCCGGTATGCGGCTGTGGATAATGAATCGGCGCTCAGCGCGGAAGCGCCGCGTCACGGCCCACGTATTGAAGTGATGCCGGCGTGTGCCGCGTTGTGCGCCGCTGGGTTCACTGCCGGTATATTCTGCGGTACGTGTCCACTCAACACGCGCAGGCATCAGCTCCACATCCCAGCTGTGCCATGTTTTGTTTTTAAGGTTGTGTTTTTGTGTGGGCTGTGGGTGCTGACCAGCTCTTCTGATTGAATCTCTCGGTTCACTTGGGTCTCTCCAAAATCCTGCAGTGACGCTGCCGTAACTGACTTACTGTCGCGGCTCTGTCGCAGTCTTTCTGTCTCCACGTGCTACCCTCTTCGGCCCGAATTAGAATATTGAAGCCCAAAACACGACAAAGTGTGTAGGGAGACCCGATCACGTGTCATTTACTGGCTTGGAGACGACGCGCCGCGGACCGGCCGGCGCGGGCGGCGGGGTGACGCCACCTCCGCACTGACGCGCCTCCTCTCCTCTCTGCCGACAGAAGTCCTGGCTGCTATCGATGAACATCGGCGTGTCAGGCGGTGTGCACGTGCAGACGTGCGGCCACCACATCCACCTGGACTGTCACCGGATGTACGTGCACTCGCTGACGGGCCACGACGCGCGCCAGCAGAGCATCAGCCTGCAACGCGGCGAGTACTCGTGCCCGCTGTGTCGCCAGCTGTGCAACAGCGTGCTGCCACTGCTGGAGGACGACGGCAGTCTGGCAGCCACGCCGCCGCAACCGGCCTACAGACGGGCCGAGGCCTACACCGCGGTTGCGCGCCTGCTCAACGACTGCCAGCCGCCCGAGGTGGGTCGTCTGGCCGAGATCCGGCCCCGCCGGCGCGGCGGGGGATGGCGCGCGCTCGTCCAGGGGCGGCGAACGGTCCGGCCGGTTCCGTGGACGTGGTGCCGAACTCGATCGGGCCTCGTTCAGCTTATGTGGTCGGTGTTTTTTTTCGCGGGGTGATCGAAATGCGGTGAAACAGCGACTTACTGGTGCTAATCATGGACTTACCTAATCGCTGACTGCGGTTGGGGCCCAAGTAATACCGGTGGCCAGGCGGTTTGACGTGAGCCGCTGGCTCCGTCGGCGTCAGCTCTGTCTGCACGATCTGACGTGTCCCGCCTCATGTGCTGCAGTACAACAGCAACTTCGGGGAGTCGATATCAAAGGCGATGGAGAGCATGACACACGTCACGTTCCCGAAGTACCGGAATACGACGCCGCAGTCGCCCGGCCATGAGAACGTGCTGCTGTTCGTCACGTCGATAGGTGAGTGGGCGGCGCCGCTGCGTGGGAAGGCCGCTCGTCGCCGTCGGTCCGCGGCTGCGGCCGCCGCCGACGGCCGGCCAGGCGCTGGGCCAGCGCTGGTGTGGAGGTCGACGCACGAGAAGCACGAGTCGCCCCGAAGCACGAGTTGTGAGGCGTTTGTGGAAGTGAAGTGGAAAGCGGCGGCCATAGAGGTGGCCAGCGGGGCGGTCGGTGTCGCCGCACGCGCCTGACCCCTGTCTCCCCACTCCCCGCAGCGCGGACGAACTTGGAGATGGAGGTGGTGCAGCGAAACGGCGGGCTCACCAACACGGGCGACGCGGCGGCCCAGCTGGTGCCCAGTGTCAAGCGCTCATGCTTGGTGCCACTACTCACCGTGCTCGGCTTCAACGCCAAGGTCCTGGCCGTGCGCGCCGACAACCAGTACCTGCCCGTCATGTGGGCCCAGCTCAACGGCCTGCCGCCGGGCGCGCGCACGGCACTCACGCTCTACCAGCCCGATGTGAGTGCGCGCGGGGAGGCCAGGGTCCAGGGCGCGGCCGGTGGGCCTTAGGTACCGCTGCTCGCGCGGTGGCGGGTACGGGCCCCGCGTACTGGCACGGGCAAAAAGATAAGGCGGGCTCTGCTGCCGTCCAGAGGCGAAAAGTGCGTAATCGTTTCCGACGTTGGGCTTTGCGTCATTCGAGTCATACCGATGAGCGCTTGTAACTTAACTACATCGGCGACTTTTGCATGTTAACGGCAATTGTAGCCCCTGTCATGACGAATGGCTCAGCCTGTACAATTCCGCTTTGGGCAGCAGATATTAGCAAGAGATCTCACTGTGACCTCAAATGCTCCAATGCGCTGTAATCCCTAAAGATCTTATGTGCTAAAAATCCTGGCTAATAATGAGAAACTTGAGTTACCTGCAGACGCCTTCAGGTGTATCATCATCGGCTTTTTAGCTTTCCCACTGAATTGTTTTGTCTTGCTGACCGACATCTTCTAATCTCCTAAGGCGCATCATGTGGATTTCAAACTCCTGTGCCGGTGTCAGCGCAGTTCGCCGATCTCGCCGTGGCTGGTGGGCGGACAGAACGAGCGCGTGCCGGCGGCGACGCTGAAAGCCATGTGTGACGGTGGGCCTGGTCATGCCGGTGCCGTGTGGTGACGCCGCCCACGCCGCCTCCAGGTGCCGCTGCTCCTGCGCGACCCGGCGTCGCTGCTGCTGCTGCTGGTGCTGACGCTGCCGCTACCGCTGCCGTCCCAGCTGTACTCGTGCGTGGTGCAGGCGCTCTACAACCTCACCTACGTGCAGGCGTGCGCGGCGCTGAGCTTCCACCTGTCGCTGACGCGCCGCCGAGAGCTGGCGCTCGCCCACCAGCGCATCCGCGGCGGCGGCAACCACATGAACGTGAGTGCCGCGCGCGCCCGAGGGCGGCGCTGACCGGGCCGTGGCCTCCCGTGGTCTCTGCCGGTGTCGACGCGGTACGTTGTCCGGCGCGGACTGCTGGCGTTGTTGGTGGAGTTACAGCGGCGTTGGTACCCGTGCGACCGACAGTGTGACGCTGATTGAGCTGTGTGGAGATCGGGCGCGATGGCTTGTCTGTCGCACCAAGCCTTCCAGTTCGCGTTTCCCGTGCGAAGCAGTGGTGATGCGCCGGTCAGGGCGGCCGCGGCGTGTCGAGCGTCTTGGATAGCTGTCTGCTGTAGCTCGGTCGTGTCGCCATCGCATTATCTTAGAGCCCACTCCTCCCTTGCCTGGAGATGATAGCTAGTAATGACCTGGCGGCCACGTCATATGGATGCCCGCGATCTGCGCGCACGCGAGCGTGGCTCAGCCTGCTGGCGCGCGGGCGGCCTCCGGCGGCGAGCCGGTCCTGACCCGGCGTCCGCTCCCCTCCGCCAGAGCATGCCGTCGATCCTGGGCCGGGTGGTGGAGCTGCTCTCGTCCGTGCCGGGCCTGTACGTGGAGGACTCGGGGATGGAGCCGCTGGTCGACCAGTCGTCGGCTCAGCTGGCCGATCAGCTGAACGCTCGGTGCCTGCCGTTCCTGCGGCTGGCCGCCGTGCTGCGCCAGCACCTCTACCAGCTGACGCTGCCCGACCCGCGCCGGCCCGAGCAAGAGCTGCCGGCGCTGCTGCGCTTCCTCGAGCTGTCGTCGGCCGGCGACGGCGGCGCGCCCGAGGCGGCGCCGCTCGGCCAGCTGGCCGCCGGCGCGCTCTCGTGGGTCACCGCGGACGGCGAGCCGGTGGTGCGCGCGTGGTGTCAGGAGTACAGGAGTCTGGCGGCGCAGAGTCAGAGCGCCTCGCGCGAGCTGGTGCATCAGCAGCGCTGGTGCCAGCCGCAGCTCCTCAGACTGCCGCAGCAGTACAAGACCATCTTCCTGGTATGTGGTGGCGCCGCTGCGCCGGGCTGGGCAGCGACGTCTGTGATCGGCACGGGCGGGGCTCATGTGCGGCGTCGCATGCGATTTAGTGCTTAGTTTATGTGTCATGTGTAGTGTGGACCCTCCTGTTCTGGCTGGGCTGTTGGACTATAGTACCACCTATAGATGAACACTTCTGTCATGCTCACATTCAGCGCCGACCTTTTGGCGAACAGGGTTGCCCTCCGACGGCTACTGCCGTCTTCTTCTGACGAGTAGCGCTGTCCCCCGGCGGCCAGTTCCGTCCTCTGACGACTATTGCCGTCCTCGGCTGGCTCGTCATGTGCCATCACCTACTGTGCCGCTCCGGCTATCATGCCGCGCTGTGACGTGTCACCTACCGTGCCGCGCCGTGACGCGTCACGCCGTGCCGGCAGTTCTACCACCGGCGGCACTGCGCGCGCTGCCAGACGGTGCCCAAGGAGCCGACCGTGTGCCTGCTGTGCGGCACTCTGGTGTGCCTGCGCGGCCAGTGCTGCAAGGTGGGCGCCGCCAACGAGGCGGTGGCCCACTCTGTGGACTGCGGCGCCGGCACCAGCATCTTCCTGGCCGTCAACTCGAGCACGATCATCGTGATCCGCGGCCGTCGCGCCTGCCTCTGGGGCTCCGTCTACCTGGACAGCTTCGGCGAGGAGGACCGCGACCTCAAGTACGTGTCGGCGGCGCTGGTCTGCCACGGGGCGCGGGGCGGTCCTCGTGTTAGCTCGGGGCACGCCTGCGGGGGGGGGGGGGTGCGGCTCCCTCTGTGGTGGCGGGGCTAGTCTGTCGCGGTGCGTGGTGCTGTCTTCATGTTTGCCCCGGGCCTAAGGGGGCTGGCATGGTTCCCTCTGTGTCGGCTGGGAGTCTGCCGCGGGCCGCGGCGCAGGCTGCTGGCTGCTATCAGTATAATGGTGCTGCTTCGTTCCTCTTTGTTGGCTGGGACCTGTTCGGGGGTTGCGGCGCAGGCGGGGTGGACCGGCGCGCTTGCGTATGGTGGTGCTACTCCTTCCCTGTGTGCCGGTGGCTGTGGGGGTGAGGCCACAGAGCATTACGATGCCTTTAGTTGCTCATGTCGAGGGGGCGGGCGTTCAATCCCCCTTGTGTTCTATAGGATGTGTCTGTCCTTTCGACATTTGTTTGGTCCAGGGGAAGAAAATGGGCATTTCAAGTGTTGTCGGGAGGTAACCATGTTGTTTGTAAAATGCCATTCATAACCTACACCTCGCTACTGCTCAGCATCATGTGTTGCGATACCTGTTCTCATTAAAACTGGCCATTCTTTCCTCCTTCGAAAAGAAAAGTTCTATCGGTTTCTTAAACCAGTTCACCGTGAAATTACCAACGTTGTGCGACCCATTCTTATTTTTCCATAGCTTGTGGATCCTGTTTGATCTCCCTCCGCTACCTGAGGCCGTCAGACATCATGAACTTTCAGTCCTTACCTGACCGTGACGGGCCTGTAAAAACAGACCGGATTTGTTGCATTCTTAAACTTCGCAACCGGAGCATTAACATTCAGGCTACTATGAGAAGGGAAGTTGGAAGCTCTGTATCGTTTCACGGACGCAGTCACCTGCGAAATCGACGCACGCGCCAGGATAATTTGCTACATACACCCCGCCCCTACCCTACGTGCAGCCAACGGATGCAGGTTTTCTCTGGAGAACACAGACGTTGTGCAGCGCCCTCCCGGCAATATTGTCAGAGCGTGCCTGGTCATCTTTTTACTTGACGTTGAAACCCTGTTTGCGGATACGTCTGGGGAGTCGCGAGGTGGACGTCTGTGTTTGGTAGTCTGTTTATGCGTCTGTTTCTGTAAAGGCATGCACGTATGTTGTTCCCATCGTTACCAATGGTTTTTGCTCCAAGAACGCTGGGTGTTTGGGTCTCGTTTTTATCGTGGATCGCCCCAGGATCGTTTAACACACGACCCTTAGTCCCGTGTACGTGTGACGACGGAGGGCCCGCCTGCGTGCAGACATTGCGTGTGACAACGGAGGGCTCTTCTGGGTGCAATCCTGTGTGCGTGCGACAACTGAGGGTCCGTCTGGGTGCAGTCCTGTGTGCGCGTGACACGGAGGGCCCGCCTGGGTGCAACCCTGTGCGTGTGACACGGAGGGCCCGCCTGGGTGCTCCCGGCCGGCGCCGTAACACTGCGCCCGTGCGCGGCAGGCGCGGCCGCCCGCTGTTCCTCTGCGAGGAGCGCTACCGGCTGCTGCAGAACCTGTGGATATCGCACGCTTTCGACAACACGCGGCGCCGCTGGATCTGGCACAAGGAGATGCTCTGACCGGGCGGTCGCCCGGTCGGGGCGCACCCCTGACAGGACTGACGGCGCTGGCGCCCTCTGTCGGCCGGCGGGGCAGCAGCGGGCCCCGCATCCCTCTCTCTGTGCCAGTGTGTGATTGGTCGGGCGACGAGCGCCGGCCGGAGCGCGCCACGCACGGCCCGCTCGCCGCCAGGCCGCGCGGCGGTTGTTCATTGTTGGGGCCGGGGCGGCGCGCTCCGGCGGTGTGGGTGGCGCGTGCTCGCGCGCGCCGCCCTGTGATCGTGTGTGGCGTCGTTGTCGGGCCGTGTGTCAGTACTGGTATATGATAAGCTTTATGGAGTTATATTGCGGCGGAGTGACAGCGGCGGCCGGCGGCGAGTGATTGGGGAGTCTGTTCCTGGCGTGTGCAATTCAACGGAGACTGTAGCGTTGTACATTCCAGAGCTGTTGGTAGTGAATAACATGTGCGCTCCCAGCTAGAGCTAATTGCGTGTTTGTATGTTTCGATTCGTTCGTGTATATGCAAGTTTATGAATATGTAGACAATAAACATTTGGTCGGGGTGTGGGAAGCGTGCCGCGCTAAGTTCACACCCCCCTTGTACTGTACTGTACTGTATTGTATACTTCGTTGGCGAGTTTTACTAGTGACAAGTGGGCGTCAACGTTCCGCGTCTCTTACTATGCCAGTGTGCTGGAATGTTCTGCTAAATAAATCTTAACATTGTGAAAGTGACTGGGCGTCTTTTCGGGCTTGCGAAGCAGACAGCGGTGGTCGCGGGCAGCACTCGGCACGCGGTGTTAGTCACGTGCGCTCCATTGTCCGTAAACTTACCCCCACCACGTCCGCTTCTGCGCGGCACCCGTTCCCCGCAGGCCGGATGCCAAGTCAGCATGGCCCAGTGTATTGTATTATACCCCCTTGCCGCCACCTACAACGGGCAGCCAGCCGCCGTCACGTCGCGTCGCCGTTGAGGACGAACGTCTCGTGCAGCACGGGTCCGCGCCGGCCGTCCAGTTCCGGCCGCAGCCAGACGCGCAGCTCGCAGTTGGCACACTCGGCCGCCAGCTGCAGTCGCGGCTGGCGCACCTTATGTTCGCTAACGCCGGCGGCGCCCTGCTCCACCCAGACGCGGTAGCTGACGCTCCGGCCGGCCGGCACGTTCAGCGGCGCCCGCCACTCGAGCAGGCGGCTGTCGCCGAGCGTGGCGGCCTCCAGTCCACGTGCCGGCCCGGGGAACCAGAGCGGTGGTGGCGGAGGCGACGGCCCGGGCCGCGCCGCGGCCAGCGCCGCCGCCGCCGCCTCGGCCGCCGCCGCGGCGTCCACCACCGTGTCCTGGTAGACGCGGTAGAGGAAGGCCGGGTTCGCTGCAGCAGAGTGTGTCGGGCACCTCCGACAGCGCCTGCACGCGGCGCCGCTCGTCGTCGGGCAGGTGCGCCAGGCCGCCGCGGTCGGCCGGCGCGTCGACGTGCGCCACGCTGGCGGCCTCGTCGCGGTTGCCCCAGGCGCGGTAGCCGAGCCCGCGTCGTTGGCACAGCTCCCGGTACGGCTGGTACCGCTCCGGTCGCAGGCCAAACGGGAACAGCTCGAGCACGCCGGCGCCCGGCGGCAGGAACAGCGCCAGCGCCAGCCCCGAGCCGTGCATGCCGACCAGCAGCGCCGCGTCGCCGGCCAGCGCCAGCGCCGCCGCCACGCCGGCCTCCTCCAGCGCCAGCCGCCGCACGGGCAGCCGCAGCCGCGCCGCCAACGCCGCCGCCAGCTCCGGCTCATTGACAATGCGGCGCGACTCGGTGCGCGAGAGCAGCAGCACGTGGCGCGCGGCGCCGGCCGGCCGGTCCGGCGCCAGCCGCGCGGCCAGCAGGGCTGCGAAGTCCGCCAGGTGCTGAGGCTGGCCGGCGGCCGGTAGTGGCGCCTGCGGCTGTGCGAAGCCGTACTGGTACCACAGCGTGTCGGCGCGCAGGCCCAGCCGCGCCCGCTCGAAACAGTGCACCGCGCCGTCGGCCAGCGCGCCCGTCAGCAGCGGCGCCGCGCCCGTCAGGGCGGCGTACAGCGGCGCGAGCGGCGGCGGCGGCACCACGCCGCGCACCAGCAGCCGCCAGCGGCGCGCGCAGCCGGCCAGCCGGCCCTCGCACAGCTGCAGCAGCGTCACGTAGGCGGGCAGCAGGTCGTCGTGCAGCACGTGCATCAGGTTATCCGGCTTGAACGGCTCGAAGACGAGGAAGCGGCCGCGGTGCAACACGGCGCCGCGGCCGGCCAGCAGGCTAGCGTTCGCCGGCACCAGGTGCAGGTCGAACAGGTTGTGGTCGACGACCGGGCTGAGCTTGAGCAGCGGCCGCAGGTCGTCGGCGCCGCGCACGCCCGCGTACCGCGTCCGCTCCGAGTACAGCAGCACGAACTGGTCGTCGTCGGGCATGTAGCAGAGGTTGGTGACTAGGCAGTGGCGCGTGGCGGGCGTGTCGCCCTCGCAGAACAGTGAGGAGAAGGCGTCCGGCGCCAGCGGCTCGGTCTCGGGCTCCGTGTCCGGGGTGGCGTCCCGGCCGCGGCCGAGCAGCGCCACCACCATGGCCGCCGCACACAGCAGAGCCGCTGCCGCGTACGAGCGCATGGCGGCGTCCACATGCGTGCACCTGAAAACAGGGCATCTGTTAGGTGGGCTCGTAGGTGTGCATACTCGGCACGGGCGCTAGTTCGAGCTACGACACTTCCATGGCGATGTGGGGAGGTTCTCGCCCATGGTCTGAAGGTGACACGGATGCAGGATAGTCCATGTCGGGAAGCCATGTGCCCGCTTTTGCGGTGCTTACTTCCTACGTTGAAACCTCGCGAGGGTTTCAACTGCGTCACCCCGTGGAAGTGGCCAGGACTTTACAGACATGATCTTATTTTCGGTGAAAACAAATTAAGATCTCGAAAAATCGTCCGGTTCTACAAAAACAAGCCTGCCTTTGACCAATACCAATGGAAACGAACTACACGTAGGTTAATCGTTTGACGTCTAGCATGTAGGGGTCGGGGCTAAAATTGGGTGCAGGGGCCCTCCCGAACCTTCCGGACCCCGTGACATCGCAGGGCCCCCCAACAGTAGTCCAACGGCCCGCACTTTAGTTACCTCTTAGGTCCACCATGCTTGAAAAACACTGGGCACCATTTGTTTAAAAATATGCTGACTGCCCCCCCCCCCCCCCTCCCCTACAGCAGTACTGCCGCGGTCAACGCAACTGGTCGCACAAACCATAGGTGAGAAACGGACACTATCAGCATGCTGTCGGACCTTGTGCACACAAATCAATACATGTTGGAATTCACGGAACCCGAGGCGGCCATAGCCCATCGGAGTTGCCCCCCCCCCCCCCTTGCAACGTTGTCTCGCATCCGATCCTCTCCGGTGCGATGTTTCTGTTGAGGAATGAGCGCTGCTGACCGATTGTCATGCGGCGTTGGGCACCCCTTCAGCATAGCACTGAATGACGAAACCTTTCGTCATGCAGTCTTCGACTTGGGAACATGGATGACGCAAGTGACGTCAGCTTTTTGTAATATGCCAGCAGAATAGCCTACCTGAACGAAATTAAACTTTCGATACCTGCCAATTGCTGCAATTATGGTGAGTCCCGGCATGGAGTGGGGTTTTACATGTATCTACCCATGATTCGTTCGGCAATGCCTGTCTTGCCTTAACTCTGAACACAGAACCGAACAGCGGCTAGGACAACCAAAAAGCTCGCTAAAACGGCTAGGATAACCAAAAAAAGCTCGCTTAAACGCTACCCATTCCCGATAAGACATGGAAACAGGGTCTTTCAAAAAGGTGTTGGCGGTCCCCCCTCTTTCATGAACCTCCACTTCCGATTGAAATTCACTGAAGTGGTGCGAATGATATCAACACCAATGACGTCATAATTTAGTAACCCGCCTACGGCCGCCAAACAAATGAGTCAATCTGGCTCTAGCGTTACATTTGCGACACACACCGCAATGCGCTGTGGGACCATCTAGCAAATAGGCGGCGTTCGCACGGAAGTGAAAGGTGAGGATAACCAAGTTATCACAAGGGTTTGCTTGCAGGATGGGTGATGATAAAATGATACAGAAGTTTCAGCTCGTTGGTCTAAGTGAGAAAAAGGCGCAGGAGACTCTCAAGAATGAACTGGTATCGGGGAACCTTTCTAAGGTGATCGACGAGGCGCTTCGACACTCGCCATCTGGATTATCCAAAACAGTTGGAAATCTGCTCTATGGCTGTGCAACGAAAGTGAAAAAGCAAATCCTGGACCACTTGCCTCTGCTTGCTGAGTACATAGCAAAAGAGAAGATCGACACTGATGCCCGTCTGAGTGCAGCTTTGGAGTATTTGTTATCAAGCCCAAGTGCTCCAGTCAATCTTAAAGCTTTTGAAAGTGCTTGTGGGGTTGGAGTCATTGTAACACCTCAGCAGATATCTGCCTCTGTTACCAAGCTTTTAAAACATCACAAAAAGGAACTGCTAGAAAAGAGGTACCAGTTCAGCATTGGCATCATCCTGGGAAGCTTGCGGAAAGAGCTGCCATGGGCAGATGGTAGGCTGGTGAAGACGGAAGTGGATGCACAGATCTTGTCAATGCTTGGGCCAAGAACCGAAGAAGATAGTGCACCAGCATCAAAAAAGAAAACAAAGAAGGAAAAGACTGAGACATCAAATAATGGTACTGGTGCTGGTGGGGACATAGAATCCTCAGATGGTGCAGCAACAATCACTGAGTTGATGAAAAAAGTCAGCTTTCACAAACCTGGTGAGAACTATAAAACTGATGGGTATGTTATCACCAACAACACAATGAAGCACATGGAAAAACACCTGGCTTTAACCAAAGGTCAGGTGAGAACAAGATTTCCTCCAGAGCCCAATGGCATCCTTCACATTGGCCATGCAAAAGCCATCAACATCAACTTTGGTTATGCTGCAGCCCATGATGGCATCTGCTTTCTCCGATATGATGACACAAACCCTGAGAAGGAGGAGGAAAAGTTCTTTGTTGGTATCCTGGACATGGTGCAGTGGCTTGGCTACAAGCCACACGACATCACCCATTCATCTGACTACTTCGATCAGCTGTATGAGTGGGCGCGAGAGCTGATCACGAAGGGCCTGGCCTACGTCTGCCACCAGACCGCGGAAGAGGTGAAGGGCATCAACTCGCCGGCCTCGCCCTGGCGCGATCGCCCGGCCGCAGAGAGCCTCCAGCTGTTCCAGGACATGAAGAACGGCAAGATCGAGGAGGGCGCCGCCACGCTGCGGCTCAAGGTCACGCTTGAGGAGGGCAAGCAGGATCCGGTGGCCTACCGGATCAAGTTCGTGCCGCACCACCGCACCGGCGACCGCTGGTGCATCTACCCCACCTACGACTACACGCACTGTCTGTGCGATTCGCTGGAGAACATCACACACTCGCTGTGCACCAAAGAGTTCCAGGCGCGCCGCTCCTCCTACTACTGGCTCTGTAACGCCGTCGACACGTACTGCCCCGTCCAGTGGGAGTACGGCCGGCTCAACGTCGGCTACACGGTGGTGTCGAAGCGCAAGATCGGCCGCCTGATCTCGGAGGGCCTGGTGGCCGACTGGGACGACCCGCGCCTGTTCACGCTGACGGCGCTGCGGCGGCGCGGCTTCCCGGCGCAGGCCATTAATAACTTCTGCGCGCGGCTCGGCCTGACCGGCGCCCAGATCGTCATCGAGCCCGAGATGCTCGAGTCGGAGGTGCGCGACGCGCTCAACGCCAGCGCGCCGCGCGCCATGGCCGTGATCGAGGCCGCTGAAGGTGACGATCGAGAACCTGCCGGCGGCGGCGGCCGGGCCGCTCCAGGTGCCCGACTTCCCCAACGAGCCGCAGCGCGGCGCCCACCAGGTCACGCTCGGCGCCGAGATCTTCATCGAGCGCTCCGACTACCGGGCCGCCGACGAGAAGGGCTACCGCCGGCTGACGCCCGGCCAGCCGGTCGGCCTGCGCCACGCCGGCTTCGTGGTGCGCCTGGAGCGCGAGGTGCGCGACGCGGCCGGCGCGCTGACCGAGCTGCGCGTCACCTGCCAGCCGGTCAGCGCCGCCGAAAAGCCCAAGGCGTTCATCCACTGGGTGTCGAGCCCGCGCCCGTGCGAGGTGCGCCTCTACGAGCGCCTGTTCCGGCACAAGAACCCGGAGGACGCGGCCGAGGTGCCCGGCGGCTTCCTGTCCGACGTCAACCCGGACTCGCGCACCGTGTGCACGGCGCTGCTCGACGGCCGGTTCCGCGCCAACGTCTACGACCGGTTCCAGTTCGAGCGCGTCGGCTTCTTCTCCGTGGATCCGGACTCCACCGATGAGCGGCTGGTGTTCAACCGGACCGTGACGCTCAAGGAGGACACTGGGAAGAACTGACCGCCGGGGGGCACGAGGCCCGCTGCGAATGCTTCGCTTTGTTTGTTACGGCCGCTTGGTCCTGTCTTGGAACAATACAAGGCGAGTTGGTTCGGTGCCTGGCTGTTCTTTAGTTTCGATCTCAGATGTCATTAACTTGACGGTCGCGAAGTTTTGATGTGCAGGTATTATCGTGAACTGGCCTCGGCGAGCTCGTCCGGAGTGATGTCGGGACTTTTATGCACTGCATTGGGATGACTTCTCGGCGCATGTGGGTTCCAAGTTGGGGACGGGAAATTGCACGGGGGCCTGGAACTTCTAATTAACACGGATTCAGGTAATATTCAACCGATAAAACACACTTAACTGGCGCGGGTTGAGAAAGAACTCCTTCCCACCGGTCTGGTTGTAACAGTACATTTAGCACAGTAATATAGCATGCGAGAAAGTACTGGCACCATGGAACAGTGATCAGATGCGGCACCATCTAGCAACGTAATAATATAGCATTATTTTGTTCCACTGACTTAAGTCGGTCCAACAACGATGCGATTATTCAAGATTTCATTTGGGGAAAAAAAATCTGGATCGCTACCGCCGTTCACTAGCGGATCCCCGTAGCATAAGCTGTGAGTACAATGGTGGTATGTTTGCGCAATGTTAATGCAATATTTATGCATTTATTCATGCATGTTTATGATGCAACCCACAGTTAATGGCTGGGATGTGGTCCAGGTCAGAACCATATCCTGGATTTCAGCGTGGGATCGATGCTTGTTCCTGTCTTCCGGCCCCCAGAAATGCACTTCCTTATCGCTGCCCGTTCTTCCGGCACAACTTGGGTATCAAATGGATCACATGTATCACGGTGACGAACACGGTGCAGTATTCGCTGCTCAATACGGTGCAGTATTCGCCACTCAAAAACACTACACTTTGTGTCCGTTAGACGGTTGTCACATTATAGGGTGACAATGCCGGCCCCAAAGCTAATAACCCCGCCCCTCCCCATTACCTCGTCCGCAAGGCTCCCGTGTTTCCATGTTTTAGGTTTCAGGCTTCAGGATTCCCACGCTTCCTCCCCACCCCTCCCCCCCCCCCCCCCCCCCCCCCCCAGCATTGTGGGGCTCCATGAAATTGACTTGAGGTATCAAGCATTGTAAGTTACAAATTTCAAGGTTAACAATTTTAGTGTTGAGCTGTAGGCCTTTGTGAGATTTATTTGATACCTCCTGGCTGATGGGGTACATGTTTCAGACTTGGAGTGTGCATGGCAGAGTGCCACCTTTTGAAGCAAAAAAGACGAAAATGGCAGTTTCACTTATTCAGCAGAGTCAGCTGGTTCCATGGGACCTACCAGGATTTAGGAGGCAGTATACTTGATTCATCCATCATGCATACCAGAAAGCTGTGGCTAGCCAATTTCCAACAGTACAAGCTGCAGTGAGTGAGGTGCTTACAGGCCCAGATGGAGAACAGCAGCAGTATTAATTGGTAATGTTTTGGAGTTCCAGACATTTCCTGTACAATGACATGAAACTATATCATGAGTGCTCTCAAACTGTTAATTAAATGCTCGATTAAATGCAACTAAATGCTTTGATTATCATTAGAATAAGCAATGGAGAACCACAGGGTACCTGACACTACCTGAAGTCCTGGGGGGAGGGCAAGTGAGCAAGGCTGTGTCAGGTACCCAGAGCCCCCCCCCCCCCCCTAGGAGCCAAATCTCTTGAGACCAAACAGAACCAACTCATTAACAACAGTCTAAGCCTGGATACCCTAGTATTTATGTTATGCTGTCTATAGCAAACAGCATGGGTAAGAGCAATATTCCAGACATCACAGAAGGGCATGCAAGAATTACATACATATCAGGTCCCCCTACATATGGAAATACTAGCTATGCACTGGTTATGGTCAAATGCTAAGATGCATTAATGGTGTGGCCCAAATGGCATGCTTTGACCATCACATTTCTGCCATAATCGTACCAGTGGTAAATACATATGAGCATCTTCATGTATGCAGGGAGTCAAATTTCACACAACACATAACACATCACACTGCATAACACATACCTAGCACCAACTGGTGGGAATGCAGTCCCCCATTCAGTTGTGAAGGGGGGGGGACTCTAACTCCCCTCCATATCAGCTCAAGGCCCACTGAACTTAGGCTCCAGGTCCTCTCACCTTGGACTCCAGGACCCCTCAACTTGGACTCCAGGACCTCTCAACTTGGACTCCTGCCCCCCAAGACTTTGAGAAAAAGTAAGTAAAATCTGGTAGTAAAATCTGGTAAAATCTGGTAGACCCATTTGAAGCACATTTTGAGAGCAGGTAGTGTAACTTTTCACTACTAAGCCTGCCACTCCCATAACTCATTTGGCACCCCAGACTAACAAAAACTGGCCCAGCACCAGCAAGATAACATTAATTGTCTTGGTAAATACAGTGCAAAGGTAAGGGCAGACTGGAGAAGGGGAAATGTGAGACATTGAATTAAATCACATAGGAATGCATATCAAATACAATTTTTGTTTGCTGGCTTCTTTACAGGGTAATCCAGAGAACATGATAACATAAACATCAGGATAGTGGGTACCTAGAGCCCTGGAGGCAAACATTCAGCAGTAGTGGTGAGCAGGCAATGAGTAAAATGCCTATGTTGCATTACATGCTTCCAGCAGAGCCAGTACAGTTTTTATGGCTCTAGAGGACCAGAACTGTACAAATTGCCAGTTATTCATATTCCTTGACTGATATGGATGTTATTCAATGAGTGCCTTATTTCATATCATGATACTTGGTGACTGATAACATGTTAACAAGACATCACTTAAGTTTCATCATTGCCACAGTATTCCATTGAAGATAGCATATAAATAAGACTGCAGAACCAATACCAAGTTAAGATCTAGTAAATTTTGGTATAAATCCTGCCACCCAACAAGAGCACCACTTTTGGAGATTTAGAATGCCCACACCCACCTCTCACCCAACTTTGAAAACCTGCACCAATTCTGCAAGGCAAGTTGCCTGAAAGGCCCACACAACCCTGGTAATGTTATTTTTCATTCCCAATACAGAATTATGGCTCATTTTCAAGACAGCAGAAGAACCAACACATGCAATCCCTTGGTCCCAGGTAAAAATATTCCCTCTCCCAGACAAATTCCTCTTCATCCTTCAGAAAGATCTTCAAAAGAAACCACTTATCCAGAAAAGAAAGCAAACAACTACAACTGACACCAACAGCAAGTACCAAGATTGAATTTACATTTACTTGGATTTGTATGACTTTTCAACCAATAAACACATGCAGGCATACCAAATAAGCAAACAAAAATTGGTCATTGTAATCCCAAAGGTAGCAGATACTTTGAACCAGCCAAGCTGTCAATTTAACAAAGAAGAATTAGCATACACACTGTAAATGGACTTCCTCACAGGTAAACACATGTCAGAAAAAGAATATCAAGAACAATCTCCGTGGCCAGCAAGTATCACAATACCAACCTTTCAAACTGCATAGACAGCAGTAGATACCTGGATGACGGCTGACTACATTGCCTTCGTCCAGTAACGAGGCTTACAGTTTAGCTACAAAGCTTCTTTAATGATGAAATTTTACCCCAAACGTCCTCAATACGGGCGTACACAACGACCTACCAGCCTCGGCACCTCACAACCACATAGCATTAAACCAAAAGGTAGGCATAGCAATTCGTACGAGCGCGCCATAAATGACCTTATGCGTAGCCTGCGTACAGCTGATGATCCATTCAAACGTCACAAGCAAATACGCAGCTCGTTCATACTTCACGCAAAGGCCACCCCTATGCATTAGAGCTGCGACTTTTGGAGATTTGGAATATCCGCACCCGCCATGCATCCAGATCTCAAAACCTGCATCCACCCTGCGTCTAAATTGTTAGGCCTGCATCCGCCCCGGAAAGCACCCCCCCCCCCGAAAAAGCCCGCATGGTACCGTCGAGCGCATCAAATGAGGAAGGTTTCGCAGCGGTCGGAGTGGTAAGTTCTGAGATCTGAGTTGCCTGCAAGCAAAGGTTTGGGATTTTGTGAAGTTAATGGTTTTTATTTGGTAGCGCAGCAGGAGAGGAGTACCAGTGGCGCGTGCCCCCGTCTCTTAGGTTCCGATTAAGGGCCCGAAGGGCCTGAAAGACCGGTCGGAGATTGCTTTCAGGGGCCTCGGCCCGCAGGGCCAGGCACTCCAATGCTGGCCAGAGGGTCTTGCGTGCTGCTCAGGGGTCCACCGAGTCGATAAGGGCCTGTATTTCGGTAAGACATCACCAGTACGCACCAGTACCAGTAAAGGACCCCCTCCCATAGGATCGTGATTTTAGATGTCAGTAAGAGAATCCGTTGCACCGATAGGGACCACTAACGCAGAGCGTTCCTCTATTTTGGCCAGAGATTGCGAATAACGAACAGTCGGCTGTGTTGGTTTGACCTCTTGGGGCCCATTTCCCAAGCAGGGGTAAGACCGGGCCTGCGATTTGCATTTGTCAGAGCCTCTGCAACAACGCAGGGCCAGTGCCTAACATGATGTTCTGTGTCAACAAGGGGTCTTGAGTTAGTTGAGGGAAGATCTGCTCAACAGGGACAGGGACGGGAGCCCGAGTGGCGGAGGGTCTCTTGCGTTGGTCGGGGCCCTCTCACCATGAAAGGAAACATAACAACTTATGATGGGTGCTCACGTTGAGGCAGTAGGAGGGCCTGTGTCAGTCAGGGCCACCACTACCGAACGGTGGTCGTTCAACCCTATTCCAGCATGGGCCCGTTAAGCCCAACTGGAGTCTGAGTGCTAGTTATTTGGCCACCTGCGGTAATCAGCGAAAACGTGGCATCAATGAGGGTTCATGCGTCAATCCGGGATCAGCAGCGCGGGTCAGAAGGTCTCCCGCGCCAGGGAGCGGACCAATGTGATATGATGTATCACAAGGGCCTCCGAATCGGCCAGGGGACCCCGTCCCGTGTCGCCAGAATGGCGGCCGGAAGGAACACCGCGGTGGGACAGAATGGCCCTTCAGCCCTTAACCGAGGACAGCAATGTGCCCCGTAGTGTTCTACTCAAATGGTCCCCTTTCCCGGAAAGAAAGAAAGGATCTCATTGGTGTTAAATAGGGTGGGTCGAGATAAGTTCAAAAATCGATAAGGCCATTCCATGTTTGTCTGAGAACGTCCATTTCTTTTCCAATAAAATTAAAAGGCTTGATCCTGCGCGTCGGGTGCCGATGGTGTATTGGGTAATGCGCTTGCGTCAACCACTGCGCGTCTGGGAAACCAGCGGTACGGGGTTCGATTCCCCGCGGTGCGTGTCCTTACGGCCAGAGTGACAGGCAGGTAATGCCACAAAGCCTCAGCAGCTGAGTGCGTCGTTCAGCCCCAATGACATACCCGCAATCTCGGGGAGTAAAGACAACGATGGCTTGGGTTGCAGTTTTTGTTAAACCGCACGGCGTTAACCGCTGCAAGTAACGCCAGACGGCGGGCGCCGCGCGCGCAATAGCGAGCATTGTAAAATAATGTTTCTGGATGTCTTTTAAAATCAAGTTGTACAGTTCAAAAGATTACACTGGGCGAATGTTTTTTTCAACGCTGAGGTTGTCCGCTGGATAGAGAAACAATCACAGCAACACGAAAAGTAGAGATTTCACCTTTGCTCTTTCAGTCCCAGCACCAGATTCCAGCAACGCTTAACGGTGCTGCAAAGGCCGATCAGTTATTATTATCCATCTAAACAGCGCGCAGGTGAAATCTATGCCTGGTAAATCTCTGACGGTACAATTTTGTGTCTCAAGGCGTTCAAATGTACCTCTTTCAAATGCGTCATCATTTGTGTTCACCTGTTAGCTACCGCCTAATGCTGACCGCAGGGCCGACGTTACGCGGCCTGTGGAGACTGCCACGCCTGGCGTCGAAGTTTCTGTTGCCAAGACATGCGAGCGCGCAACAAAATGACGGTCAAAACTACGTTCAATAACTTGTATTACTAATTGATTCTGACATAAAACAAATACATATTAAAAATTAAATACAGATAATATAAATGATAAAATATTAAAAAAACGTCCTCATTCCTTGGAGAAAGGGGTCTTTCTGCTATTGTTTCGATAAAGGCCTTTTGCCAAAATATCAACGCATCTATGTCTACCTTCTCCTGGTTTTTCTCCGAGGAATGAGGCTATTACTAATGTCTTATCTATGTGAATAAAGTTCCTCGCAGGTGCTATAAACAACTTTTGATCTTTTGCCATTTTGATCTTCAGTCTACATTTGCCGGGCCCTCGATATCTCTGCGCAACCCAGATGAAAATTCCGACAAATTTCTGAGTTTTAATGGTTTGAAAAGAGTCCATTGGAGCAATGTAAAATGCCGGTGATTTATTTCATGCAGTTGTTTAATGCATGATTTCTTCAGTTTTACTACAAACTTTGGGAAAATTGATCTCACGGTGGCGTTTGACCGCTCTCCCAGTTAAAGAAGGTAAAAAAGCTATATATATATATATATATATATATATATATATATATATATATATATATATATATGTGTGTGTGTGTGTGTGTGTGTGTGTGTGTGTAATGTGTATGAACAACATGCCTGCATTAAAAAGTGAGCCATATCCGGCGGTCTTCTTTGGGGTGCCTTTCACTATTCGCGGAACTTTCGTCAAGCGTGTGCCCCCGTTGCCTTGTCTCGGGTTGCGCGCCGGCTTTTACCTGGCCTACGGCCACCAGTGTATTGACTGCACTGGGGAAACAGGTATGGCGCATCGAATGGTAAAGGTTTCAGAGCGATCAGAGCCAGAGGTGGAACTTAGTAATTTTCATTTGATGAGCCGAACTCATGAACGTTGTCTATCCTATCTCCCGGACGCATTAACTGCATATTTCGTCCAATTTTTCATGATCATGATTTGGATATGATATAAGAAAGACCGGCCTCCAGTTCCTGGTTTATCGGCAGTATGAGCTCAAAGCTCTTATGATGAGTAAGCGACCTTCGTTTTACTAGGACGTACTATACCTACTATTGCTTCAAAAGCCTTCTAGTGATAAGGAACGATTATATTCACGACGTTCAATATTTCCAGATGGGCTCAGTATCTTATTTACATTTTATAGATGTCCAATAGGTTACGAAAATGAGATGTAAAGATTATTCGTCTTAGTTTTGTTAAAAGACAGTTTACTTCCTGGAGAAGAAAAAAAAACACTAGATGTCCACAGTACATCTGTGTCATGGCGGATACTGTACTTGACCACAAATGGTGTCGTTTCGAGGCCGCTCCAGGAAGCTGCCAGAAGGCAACGATTTTGAAGAGCTGTTGAGCTCCTCCCGGAAATACCAGACACTGAGTTTAAAGAAGGTTTCGTTGAGTGGTGTGGTGGCAATGCTCCAAGACTGTCGAAATTTGATCGTCTCCTTTTTCTGCTTGCAGTGGAGCAAAGCTGTTCTGGCAGGGGGGATCCAAAGGGGAGGCAAAGACCCATGCCGACCACCCCTTGGGCCACTCATGAAGTTTTGGTGCCCCTTCATGGTACCAAAGTGTCACAGTGAATACACGAAATACCTCATGGTTATGGTCATGATAGAATAACAAAAACGTTTACTTGGGAACCACACAGTCATTATTCTGAAAAGACAACAAACTCCAGGGCCACCACAAAGGGCACCAAATTTTCACGTTCAAGAGGCACCAAATTCCATGTGCATCACAATATCCGTGCCGTGTCCATTTGACGAAATCCTGGTCTGGCCCATTCTGCCGTCCAAATGTAAAACCTATACGTTAATTTTTGGCTGTTTTGCGTTTTTTATGTTGTCTGAGTCATCTACTTATGCTGAATTTGGTGATTAAAACCAGCAGTTCAAATTCTCACAAGCTTTTAGCGCATTCCTTTAGCTAAAAGCTTGTGCAGATTTCAGCTACTGGTTTAAATATCTGAATTCAGCGTGAGAAGACGAATAAGATGACATAAAAAGGCAAAATGGTCAGACATGAACATGATGAGTTTTACCTTGGGACGGCAGCATTAGCAAACTACTAAGCAGCACAACTATCAGAACAAGCACCAAAACCTTTGTTTTCAAGAGGCACCTAATTCCAGAGTGCACCAAAAAGGGCCCGAACCTTCATTCTCAATGCGCACCAAATTCCAGCGGTACACCATTATCGTACCCTTCTACCCTAAACAAAATCCTAAAGCAATTTTCTGGGCGAAGGGAAACCAAAACCTTCATTTCCCGGTACCACGACCTCTATTTTCGTAAGGAACTCTTGTACCTTTCACCCCGAAAAAAATATGACTCACTCGGTCTTCGCCGCACTGCTAAGTAGCACCAAACACCTTCATTACGGGTGGTCATAGCCATTATTTTCCTGGGACACTTGATTCCAAGGGGTACCTTGAAGGGTCACAAAACCTTTATTTTCAAGGGACAACAAATCCAAAGGGAAATTTTGATGCTTATGTTCCACCATTGACGAAATTCTGGATCGGCCCATTCCGACACGCCTAAAGCCTTCATTTCGGGCACAATTGTCTATATTTTCAAGTTGCACCCAATTCTAGGACGCCACCACGAGGAGCTCCAAAGCCTTTTGCTTCAAGTGGTAGCCCCAAATCTTCATGGCGTGACCACCAAAGCCAGGTGACCAGCCT